ATTTTCTTTTTTTAGTTTGATCTAGACTTCACAGACACATGCGCAATGTTCCCAGTCGTTTTCCTACCGTCTGTCTTCATATGTTTGTCGGGTGTTATGAAATCCTTTTTTTCATAGAAGGATTTTGCGGGAAAACTCCAGAGCTCCTCACAGGATTTTACAGGCGTGCGCATCTTTCATCCGAGATTTCACACATCTAGTTGCAGAATCTCTGTGACTCTATTTCAATTCTAATTCTATTCTGGAAAAGATTGTGCCAACGTGTTTGTTCATTCATAGTTTTGTTACCCGTATCATGGCGTCTGAGAGATTGTAGATCGATGCAGTGGAAGGTTGCATGAATATGGAACATCTATTCTCTCCATTCTAGAGCTGATTTTAGAGTTTCTTTCTAAATGTTGTTCATTTTTTTTGAACAACATTTTTATCAACTATTATTCTGCGAAGATCCACCAATATGACAGTAAAGACTATTTCAAATTCTTTCTTGATGAAAAGAAAGCAAATATTTCGAGCAGCAAATCATTCAATTTGTATGATTTGTGAAAGATCATGTAACACTGTGACTGGAGTAATGATGCTGAAAATACAGCTTTGCATCACAAGAATAAATTACATTTTTAAATACATTCAAATAGAAAACAGTTGTTTTGAATTGTAATAATAATTTTCAATATTACTATTTTCACTGTATTTTTGATCAAATAAATTAAGCCTTGGTGAGCAGAAGAGACTTCTTTAAAAAAAAAAAAACCTGGAGAACACATGTATATACACTGACACTCACCTAAATGATTATTAGGAACACCTGTTCAATTTCTCATTAATGCAATTATCTAATCAACCAATCTCATGGCAGTTGCGTCAATGCATTTAGGGGTGTGGTCCTGGTCAAGAAAATCTCCTGAACTCCAAACTGAATGTCAGAATGGGAAAGAAAGGTGATTTAAGCAATTTTGAGCGTGGCATGGTTGTTGGTGTCAGACGGGTCAGTGAGTATTTCACAATCTGCTCAGTTACTGGGATTTTCACACACAACCATTTCTAGGGTTTTAAAAGAATGGTGTGAAAAGGGAAAGAAATCCAGTATGTGGCAGTCCTGTGGATGAAAATACCTTGTTGATGCTAGAGGTCAGAGGAGAATGGGCCGACTGATTCAAGCTGATAGAAGAGCAACTTTGACTGAAATAACCACTCGTTACAACCGAGGTATGCAGCAAAGCATTTGTGAAGCCACAACAAGCACAACCTTGAGGCGGATGGGCTAAAACAGCAGAAGACCCCACCGGGTACCACTCACCTCCACTACTAATAGGAAAAAGAGGCTGCAATTTGCAAGAGCTCACCAAAATTGGACGGTTGAAGACTGGAAAAATGTTGTCTGGTCTGATGAGTCTCGATTTCTGTTGAATCATTCAGGTGGTAGAGTCAGAATTTGGCGTAAACAGAATGAGAACATGGATCCATCATGCCTTGTTACCACTTGCAGGCTGCTGGTGGTGGTGTAATGGTGTGGGGGATGTTTTCTTGGCACACTTTAGGCCCCTTAGTGCCAATTGGGGATCGTTTAAATGCCACGACCTACCTGAGCATTGTTTCTGACCATGTCCATCCCGTTATGGCCACCATGTACCCATTTTCTGATGGCTACTTCCAGCAAGATAATGCACCATGTCACAAAGCTTGAATCATTTCAAATTGGTTTCTTGATCATGACAATGAGTTCACTGTACTAAAATGACCCCCACAGTCACCAGATCTCAACCCAATAGAGCATCTTTGGGATGTGGTGGAACAGGAACATCCCTCAAATCTCCATCAACTGCAAGATGCTATCCTATCAATATGGGCAAACATTTCTCAGGGATGTGATTTTTCCGGATTAATCCGGAATTCCGGATTTTCCGACCTGAAAATGTGACCTACGTGAATCATGCAGATCTGTAAAAAAAAAAAGAAGAAGAAAAAAAAAGAGGGGGACGGGTGTCGGCAGCCGGAGTGAAAAGGAGAGAATATGAGGACATAACCCATAACTGGCTGACATGCGTACAGAAAGTTCCTTTCAAAGTATCAACAAGGACGTATTTGCGTTCAGCCAGAGAATGTCTGATTGGTTCAGCTTGTTCACCTGCTCAATTTCGTATCTCAGTCGCTCTCGCGCTGGTATCGTTGTCAGTTGACAAGAACATCACAGTTAGGTCACCAGGGCTAGGCGATATATCGATATATTTCAAATTTGCGCTATGATCCTTGCTCCAAGCAAGCTGCTGACTGCTTTTGTAGAAATATGCAGCAGGTATATCGTGCATTCTGTCAGTTGCAGTCCATTAGTGTACAACGCGACAAATACTCGCAATATTAACGCAGAGGAACGGCTACATCAGTTCAGCGAGTTCACAAAAGTTAATTTGCATGTGCTTTAAAGCCTTGCCGGTTAAACATGTCATTCACTGCTGATGCGCTGTTCTGAGCGCGAACACCCGACGCGCACATGCACTAAAAGCTTGTCTAACAGCGCCTGGTTGCTGGACTAAGTTATCTTTCGAGTATTATTTCGCTAATACTCTCAAATACACACAAGGTTTACATAAGAACATTTGGTTATGTCTAAACTCAAAGCAAACTGAGAAAATTGAGAGAAATCTGCTTGTCAAATGCTCCGTGTATATTAGACGTGTCGCGTACAAGTCTTAAAGTGACAGTAGCCCTAATAATAAAAATGCAGCTGCTTGTTTTTAAATGGATAGTTGACCCCAGAAGAAAAATTCTGTCATTATTTATTCACTGTAATGTTGTTCCAAACCTGTATTCATTTATTTCTTGTGCTGAACAAAAAAGAAGATATTTTGAAGAATGTGGGTGACCAGACAGTTGCTGGTCCCCATTGACTTCCATAGGGAAAAATTTACTATGGAAATCACTGGGGTACATCAACTGTTTGGTTACCCACATTCTTCCAAATAATTTAAACAGAAGAAAGAAGCTCCGTATATTTTCCTGCTTTTTTGTACTTAGCCAATCACATGCCTGATTTCTAAAGATTGCTTTCAGAACCTTGTTGAATCAATGCCACGTAGAATTAAGGCAGTTCTGAAGGCGAAAGGGGGTCAAACACAGTATTAGTATGAGGTTCCTAATAATCCTTTAGGTGAGTGTAGTGTACATCACATAGCTGTATATATTGTATACATTTTGGTTTAAATGACTTTGTCTGTCTTTTGAAGTCCCAGTGTTATACTTAAACATTCAACTGTTTGTCACAGTACATCTTTATGAATGTGTGTGGCTAAATATACCATTTTTGTGCATGCACTCCATGCTTTTAAGGCGGTATTGATTAAGACGGGAAACAGCTTGGGTGACATGAAACCGAACATTACTGTAACCCTCACCCATTCCCATCCCATCCGGGTCGATATCTGTGGCACAGCTGCGTACAGTGACTCATTCAGCTGGAAACATAAAGCAAATAAAGGCCGCTCACTGAGTGACTTCCTGCGTTACTATTAGAGAGATTTGAGAAAGGACTCTATGAAGCCTACTGGATGGCACAGAATATCCCGGTTCAGGCAGTGCAGCTTCCACTGGTTATATATCAACATAAAGAGGGTTGTCTATGTGTTTGCATACAGTCCATATTGGCCATTAATCATTATATTGCAGAAACATCCTACACTGACTGTAAATGGATGCTGTGTTAATGTAAACTGTGAAATATGAATGTGATATACGTACTGTGATATCTCACGCCGCTTGTCTGTGTTCACAGCTTTCCACAGAGTATGTACTGTAAGTGCTGCAAGGTTTTTATAGTTGAATAAATATAAAACCATAAAAAACATTTGTTACTAAGATTAAATTAATTTTATTTCAGCCTACTGTGCAAAGCATCAATTCTCCTATTCATTTAGTGTAACTTGATATACTAAAATAACTAAAACAAACACTTAAATAATTTTTTTTTAAAGCTTTATGGACTTACAAAATACAAAAAAAAAAAAGAATAAAATTAAAATGGAAAATGAAAACTAATTCAAAATATTAAAAAGAACTATAATAGTAGTATCTCAATGGTACTAAAATAACACTTGTGCAGTGACACTTTTTTGTCAACCATATTTTGTCACAATGTGATTATAGCATTTCTATATTTCATTGGATGTGCAAACACCGTTTGGGGGTCCTCCAGAAACAGGTTTGAGAAACACTGATGTAATAAATCTGCCCTTGATGGGAAACTCCTGCTGCCATGTGCTCAAGCTCAATTTATAGACATAAATAATTCACACTCACGTCCTCAGAGTTGCCGTGCCTCAGGCAGCCTTTGAAAATGATAGGTTACAATTTATTGCACATCTTTTAGAAATTAATGGGTTTCCAGCCAATTTCAATGCATGCATTTATGTATATCTACCGGTATGTCCGTCCGTCCGTCGTCCATCCATCCATCCATACATACATACATAGTTTTGAGGACATCAGGGACCTTTCATTAGAGTTGGGGTACTCGAACTCGAGTCCAATTTTGAATGAACTCGGACTTGTCACGCACTCGGATGAATATGTACTCGGACTTGACACGGACTCGGACATTTTAGACTCGGAAAAAGTCGAGTCCGGGCACTGGAGGACACATTATTCAAAAACATAACGGAACTACTTGTGTTTTGTCCACGTTGAGCATTGTAGCCAATCACAGACATGTATATTAAGCGCATGAACGCAGTGGCAAATCAGAGGCATTTTAGAGTCAACATGCAGAGAATTTGCAGATTTTTTTGTGCATTACATTACTGTATGTATCCCTGTGATTTCTGTGTAACATGGGACATCAAGAACATTTTGTCCAGAGATGCAAGTTTATTAGCTATGCGTGCGTCTCATAGAAAAGAGTCATGGGAGCATTTTAGATGAGATACCAATTCATTAAGCAAATAATAGTGCTGGGTTTTATAGCAGTAATATTTTTTTTGTAGTAATGTTTATGATCTTCTGAACAGGTATATCCGCACGCTGTACTTGGGTATCCAGAGTCGGCGACAGAAGGAACACAGGCGGCGCTTCTACTGGGCGATGATGTACGAGTATGCTGACGTCAACATGCTCCGTCTGCTGGAGACGTTTTTGGAGAGTGCCCCCCAACTGGTGCTACAACTCTGTATAATGATCCAGAAGAACCAGGCCGAGACACTGCAGTGTGAGTGTGAACCATTCATTGGTGGAGTTGGTTAAATCAGCTAAACTTTCAGGATGCACCATAAATGCTAGCTAAATAGATCCCTGTAAGTCACCTAGACATCTATAGAGTGCTGCAGGATTGACATCACTGATTGAGTTGACATTTTTGCACTTCCGGTTTCATCATCCCAAAGTCAAAGGTCTTTTTGAATGGGAAACATTATTCATTTTTTCGAGCAGACATATTTATTTGTATACATTAAATGTTGATTAATCCTTATTAAAGCTTTTAAAGTTATTCAGTCAAGAACATTGAGTGATTTACTGTTGTTTGATTATTGATGGACAGCAGCAGGTTATTTGACTGTTGTCATTTTAAAGTCCCTGTAAAGGCAATTCTACAAAAAAAGTTCTAAACACATTATAAATGATACATATGTATTGCTAAAACATATTACAAAGACTGTGAACTGTGAAGTACTGAAATGTGGAGTTAGACCGTTAAACAGTTTTTCACCCTTGCTATTTTACGAAATGTTTGGGCGGGGCTAAAACAGGGCTCGATGACGCACTGGAGCCCATGAGCTCCTGGAGACGCCCCTATTTGATGACGCACAGAGTCTGATCTCTCCCCTAACACACAATAACCCCACCCCCCCCAAAAAAAAAACCCACAATAACACTCCCTGAGCACATTCGTATTCACCGCTCAATCGCGAGTGACTGTCAGTACTATTAGTTACTACAGCTGAGCCTACAGTTTGCTACCTTGCTATTCCTTCAACACGGACATGCATATGCTGCCTGTATGCGATCATGTACAAAACAGATCGTATCTTCATTTAAATTCCCTAAAAACGATCACATCAAGAAGAGGTTTTTAGAGAACCAACCTTGATGAAGAGCTGAGGATCACCGTCAACACCCGCCTCTGTAGTGATCGTTTTACACTGGATAGTTTTATAAACTTTCCTCAGAGACAACTGGGATTCACTGATAATCCACTGTTACTGGTGAACGGGTGATCTCCCGCCTCTGTTCATCCTCCCGTCACGAAAGCAGTTTCACCTAATATCACCGTTGACAGCTTTCCCGCTAGTGGGCGTGGTTTCAGCACAGCCAGCGGACACGCCCCCAGCGTTTGAGAACAGAGATAACTGCTCATTTTTTCATGATTTTGATAGCTTATTTTATGTACTTGCCGGCTTTTTTTATCATTCAAATTTTGCCGGGTGGCTAATAACACATTTTTCTGTGGTGTGACAAACTCAGAACACATACTTAATTTTGACTTTACAGGGACTTTAAGGCCAAATGCATGGATGCAATACACTGACACACATCCCATATTCTCCCAACTGTTTTCATTCACTTAAGACATAACTCGACTGTATTTACGGTACGTGAATACTCGCCAAAACTGACATTTTGTTTGTATTTGTCCTTTTAAAGGATAATTCTGGTATTTAACACCTTGAGTCTATTTTGTAGTTTGTTTTGAATGAAATAGAGTGGTGGACTTAGAAATTTTGACAATGGGTCCTGTCTCGACTGTTTGACTTTTAGAATCGCCTGTCTATGGGCATGCACAAAGATGTCCATAAAACAACCCTTAACGTTAATTTTCAAAACTGTGCAACTCACCGAGTGGTTGGTCGTGTTCGTTGATGTTCTGAAACAAGTAGCGTAGAGAAATACCGTTTCTGTCGTGTTTTATTTGTCATTTTTTAAAATCGCATTGATGTCTGCTGGAGGACTCAGTGCTCGTTGATATTACTGCGCTAGCTACCGGAAAAGGAAAGGGGTCTGTTTACATTTTGTTGTAAGTCTTTTCGCTCGGTTCTCCGGTTCTATGTCTCTCAGAAGGCTAGCATGAGCAGAGCAACTGTGCTCCCGGACTTTTTTTACGGTGCGCTAGACACCGTGTTCCGTACAGCGTCCTGGTTGTCGCCATCAAGTGGTCGGGAGTGTGCTAACGCTTCAGACTCAAATATCGAGTGGAAGTTTATACGCGGTTGTGAGGTATCTGAATAAATAGTTCCATAATAGCAAACAACACGGATTGAAAGCATAGATAGCGCCGATATATTTGTTTTTAATCATCAACGAACACCACCAACCACTCTGTAATTTGCACAGTTTTGAAAATGAACATTAAGGGTTGTTTTATGGACATGTTTGTGTATGCCCATAGACAGCCAGTCTAACGCTGTCATAGGCGTTTCTAAAATAATCAAAAAGTCGAGACAGGGCCCATTGTCGAAATGTCTAAGTCCACCACTCTATTACATTCAAAACAAACTACAAAATAGACCCAAGGTGTTAAATACCGGAATTATCCTTTAAGTGTGGAAATACATGAAAGAGAACTCAATTCAGTACTTGTGCATGTTTACGTCTGAGAGGTGGCTTTTTCAGATTTATCGATATGTCTTCTCTTCTCTTTCTCCCAGACAATTACTTGCTTAAACGTTTAATGCTGCAAGTGTATGCCAACTTATGTCCCGCCTTGTAGATCAACACGTTATAATTTAAATGTGCTCATCTATTCCGCAGGACGTCGATTCAGTTCTGACTGGATCTCTTTCCAAATCGTCCCTCCCTAAGGTTTTCCTTTTATTTTTATTCGTTGACGAAAATGTCAATAGGTTTTCGTCTTAGTTTTTGTTATTAAAAACTGGCTTTTATTTAGTTATCCATTTCATTTTCGTCAGTGAAAAAATTTTGTTGACAAAAATTTACAAATTAACTCAAGCTTTTTTACTTCTGCTGATTTAGTGTAGGCTTCAATATTCATAAGTTATGTTAATTTATCGGTAACGCTTCCTTTTACAGTACAGTACTTACAGTGTACTTACAGTGTACTTACCTAGAAAGTACTGTCTAATATAAGGTAAGTACATGGAACAGGGGTAGGTTTAGGGGTAGTTTCAGGGTTAGTTATTACCCAGTAATTGTTACTAAAATAAGTACATAGTATTTACATGGGTAACTGGACTGTAAAAGGAAGCGTTACCAATTTATCTTATGTTCATAAGATCTTATTTTCTGCCAGTTTCCAACCAACGTGATGTCAACTCACGGGTTGGCCTTCAAAAATTACATCATCCCTGCAGCACTCTATTCAATGTGTGTTTTAGGTCAAATATGTCACTTTGAGATATGTCTCTTGTGATTTTAAAATGTACGTTATTAAAGCAATAAGTCACTAAAGGCCCTGCTTTTGCATGTAAGGTATGATCTGAAATGGCTTGTAAAGATGTTTCCGGGTCCAAGCCTCTACTCCGTCAAGTTTCAATTCTCTATTTATAGCACACCTTTAAGCAAATTTTTCCAAAACTCAAGTGTACAATACAGTCTCTAGGCTCACGGGGTCCCATACAAAAGATTCATTGCTGTCAACTGAGCCAGCTGATATTTCAGTTTGGAGCTAAAGTTAAGGATCGTGATTTGTGGGTAGTTTTATAGCAAACCGTGACAGTATTTTAGCACCTTTTAGTGCTTTTCCCTATTTTGACTTGATAACCTTTGGTCATTCCAATCCCTGCATAAAAGCGGAGCAAACCCTGTTCTGGTTTCATAACCCTGGGTAAAATCGGCGCAAAACCTGTGAGATTCAGAATGATGATAATCTGGGGTTAAATGCAGTGTAAAAATCCTCGGCTTTGTTTGCTTTTGGGATCTAATAGAGTGTTTGAACCTGGAAACTTTGAGGCATGACCGACTTATCATATCGCTCTTGCCGCCTTCTTACAAAGCAATCTGGTTAAGTCCTGAAGAACGTCTCTCGTCATGAATACCTCACAGGTGTCTCCTCCGTTGCCTCCCTGCTCTCGCTGGCCTGGGTCCTGGCTTCGTACCACAAGCTCCTGCGCGATTCCAGAGATGACAAAAAGAGCATGAGCTACAGGGGCGCGCTGATCCACATCTTCTGGAGGCTTTTCACGATAACCTCTCGGGTGCTCTCCTTCGCCCTCTTCGCTTCCATCTTCCACATCTACTTCGGCATCTTCGTGGTTGTGCACTGGTGCGCCATGGCGTTCTGGATTGTGCATGGAGGCACTGATTTTTGCATGTCCAAATGGGAAGAGGTGCTCTTCAACATGGTGGTGGGCATCGTCTACATCTTCTGCTGGTTCAACGTGAAGGAGGGCCGAACACGGTACCGCATGGTGATCTACTACTTTGTGGTGCTTGCCGAAAACACGGTGCTTACTTGCCTGTGGTACGCCTACCGAGACCCAGTCAGCACTGACTCCTACGCAGTGCCGGTGCTCTGCGGAGTTTACCTAACCTTCGCCTCAGGGGTGGTTTTCATGGGCATCTACTATGGGTTCCTTCATCCGATGGGACCTAAAATAAGGGTGCTAGCTAGCTCCTGTTGTGCCGAGCTTCTCTGGGGACTTCCGTTACCCCCGGAGGCCGAGCCCATGGCACCCACTCCTGGTCCGCGAGCGTCCCAACCCACTCCCTCTCGGGCTTCCATGGGGGCCTTTGGCCAACCGGATGATACCACGGCAGACACCTGCCTGCCCGTGTTTCAGGTGCGCTCGCCCGAGCCCACCACTCCCTTGGGCCGTTACAGGCCGGAGGGACCTCTGATCAAGATCGACATGCCCAGGAAACGCTACCCGGCCTGGGACGCGCACTTCGTGGACAGGCGCTTGAGAAGGACGATAAACATCCTGCAGTTCATCACGCCCGCGACCGTCGGGATCAGGTACAGGGACGGACCGCTGCTGTACGAGCTCCTGCAGTACGAGTCATCCCTGTGATGGCTGGCTCTCTCCGTCATTTAGTTTCAGATCTGCCACATTTCTCAAAATGCATGCCATTTTGGTTTCCGTATAAATGATATAAATGTGTGTAAAAGAGTGTAAGCATCAAGCATTGCACTTTTTTCTTTTACGTGAATAGCCTCCTGAAGATGTGTACATATTTTATATGTATATACTGTCTCTTTTTTACAATATCTGTGTCCCCATGAAGGTATGTATAGGCGCTTTTCCACTGCATAGTACGGTACGGTTCGGTTCGGTACGTCTCACTTGTGGTGCTTTTCCACTGCATGGTACGGTACAGTACGGTTCGCTTCAGGTCGCTTTAAATGGTACCTGGTCTGTTGAGGTTCCAAGCGTACCGTACCGGTACTAAAATGTGACGTGAAACACTGCAGATCACTGATTGGTCAGACAGAATCGTCATTCCCTGCGTCACTACTAGCGTCATTGGATTTGCGACACGAGACACGAGACACTTTTTTAGCAGTATTTTTGTTTTGCTGCCACCAGCCTCATTTTAAACACATTTTTCCGTCTAGCAGTTAAAAACAACCACATACCGAGAATCAGGAACACCATCCCCTGGATAGTCTCCATTGTTCCTGTGTTGTGGGTTTGAAAATGTGGCGCTTTTAAGATGATGTCATGGCAGTAGAGGCGCGCGCAAATAACGATCAGTCCCACACACTTTGAAGGGGTACTACTGCGGTGGAAACGAAAAGCGATCCGAACTGTTCCGCGCCGAGTCGAAGCGTACTGGGCCGAACCGTACCGTACTATGCAGTGGAAAAGCGCCATATGTGTATATATATATACATATATACATACGTCATGGTGTTTACAGCCAGCGGAAACCATTACATTGGAAAAATGGAGATCGGTTGACCACATCAACACCGCCTTGGGTTTTTTAACAACTTTTACTAATCTATACTAGCTTATCTGATATTTCAGAGCTTATTTTCACACTAACATTGATCAGTATGCTCAAGTGGATGTTTATATGTAAAGCACCTGGTATAACCTAGAATTTTCCATTGACGGTGATTTGCATCGACAATGCAACAGAAAGTCGCCTATTAGCAAACTACAGTTGGGCGGTTTGGCGACCTCTTACGCCTCTTTAGACTGACCTCTGCAGGCAAGAATCTACTTCCTGTCAGACAAAATCCAAGTGGCATTCATTGTCTGTTTGCCTTAAATCTGTATTTAGCTTGTTAAAGTGTCTTTATTTTTGGTTATTGAAGAAATACCTCATTGACTCTGGATAGCACAGTTCAAATCCATTTAACCTTTTGCACAATATGATTAATATGAACCTTGCACTGAGAACCATCTTAGACCTATATAGTTTAATGGGAATTTAAAATAATAATTAAAGCACATAACTCGTGGTTTTGAAGGAACCGTTCTCTACAGCGAGTAGCACATTGAATTGGTGATTTTTAAAATATTTGTTCTTGGTTATTGGGATGTTTTTGCTTTTCTGGCTATGTTCACACCGCAAACCAAAATCCCATATTTTCAGCTCAAGGTCTTTAAAAAAAAACTTTTTTATTTTTGTATTATTTTAAATGAATATTTTTTTTTTTTTAAAGTTTGAGTTATTTATTCTAATTCATTTATTTATTTTAATTTGATATTATATTAACATTTATTTGTATTTCTTATGTCATTTTAAATCATACAATATCATATTTTTTATACCTTACATTTCTAGAAGTATTATTATTTAGGAGTTTTAGCATTGTGGCACTGACCATTTTGTGCTGTTCCCCATCTGCGATTGACACATTTTTTTAGTTCGATTGGTCGGACAAATCAGATTGCGGTGTGAACGTAGCCCATGCTCCTTCTGTTTTATCTCAGCGAAATTAAGCACAAAAAACCCCTCGACAAGGTGGCGTTGTATGAATGGTCCTCTCCATTATTTCAACCTCTTTTCTAGCATTTAGACTGCATAGTGTATACGATGACTGCTCTCATCTGTTTGTCTAGTGTCGTCATCTAAAATTCCAAGTAATAAACTTGTGAGGTGCAGAAATGTGGCTGTGGTTCTCTGAGGAACCCTGGCCTACATATTTTTCCTATGTGTAATGACTTTAATTGACAGTTTTTTAACCTTTATTTTATTCTAAGGTGCAAAAAGATGCTAAGCTAATGGCATTTGAAGTTATCTTTGCCTGAATATACCTGAGTGTATTTACACAAGTAACCATGGCAGAGTCTCACCATAAGAGGGTTTTGTGATCGTCTGAGAAGTGGATGATAATGGCCTCAACACACAGGGCTTGCTGCTGCCCGCAGCGCGAAACAAAGCCAAATCACATCCTTTACTGTAACAATCTCTCTCTGCTATTGGTGCACCCAGCCGCCTGTCACGGTCATCCTTCTTGCTGATTGGTGCTTATAGGGAAGCATTTATTTCTTACTTACTAAGCTTACTATTTGTTTTTTGGTGCTACATTTATCAGTTTGATTTCCGTTCATTTTGCCATGTGAAACCAGAAATGTGGAATTTTTAAAGTTGCACTAAGTTTTTTTTTCATTATAATGAAACTGCACTTCTGAATTTTTTTTAAAATGATGCAAATAATCAGTGCTCCTGTTGCAAAATGCATGGGATTTCAATTTATTTCACTAGAGCTTGTCATTGTTACATGTTGTTATTATGGAAGCTTGTTTCTGCCACAGAATAAAACATTTTAAACAATAATTGTGACTTTTAATGTCACAATTGCGAGTTTACATCTCACAATTTTGACTTTATTTCTCAGAATTGCAAGAAATAAAATCAAAATTGTGAGAAATAAACTCGCAATTCTGACTTTCTAACACACAATTGCGACTTTATATCTTGCAACTCTGACTTTATAACACACAATTGCGACTTTGACGCAATTGTGAGATAAAATGTCAGAATTGGGAGATAAAAAGTCACAATCACCTTTTTTATTTTTTTTTATTATGTGGCAGAAACAAGCTTCCATATGTAATAGCCTAATATAAGTATAATGGGTAAAATAGTCAATTTTTAATGAGGCTGAATTTTTTTAACCAATGCATTTTGGTATTGATTTCAAATTGATTGAAGTATATTTACAATCAACATATGCCGACTTGAATGTATGTTTTCACTGAGCTTATGCATTGCATCAAATATGGCTGTTTGAATCGGTTGAATTTGACCAAAAAAGACATTAGCTGTGTCCCAATTCAGAGGCTGCGTCCTTCGAAGGATGCGGACTTGAAAGTTTTAAAGTTATATTCAACTGTCTGAAAACAAAATGCCAACTTTGGTCCATTTATGTACATAATTAAGAGTATAAACTATTTATAAAATCACATATTGATAAGATGAGTCGACATTTGAACAGCTTTAAAGTGTGTTTTAAACATTTGTATTGATAGATATTCAAGTAAGTTGAAAAACCCAACAATAGAGGGTATGCGCGTGACGTCACCGTCGGCCGGAGTGCCTGCAGTTACTCACAGTGAGTGGCAAAAAGACTGAGCGGCTGTATTTGTTTTCAGCGTGAATGCCGCGAAAAACAAACACAACACATATAAAGTGGGAAAGAGCTTTGCGATTGACTGTCCAACTAGATTTGACCAAAAATCGGAGGTATATTTTTACAGACTGCTATAGATAGAGGAGCAAATGGATCGCTGCAATTCACAGAAACAACTAGACTCCAGTCAGCGAAAGGTGGATTTGCAGTTATCATTTTGTGTCAATATGCTGAATTTAGGTGTAAAACCATACCCATATATTTTGTATTGTTATATATATAGATTAACAACTCATCAATTACATATTTATCATTGCATATTCTGCATTATTGGATGTTTTTTAATAAACACTGACCAAAAAAAAACTATAAAGTTTTAGGGTTGGATATATAACACTGATGTAAGTGATCACTCGGAATTAGACCTATTGTATTTATATAAAGCGTTCACAGGCAGATTTGCTTTATGTTTAGGTCTATAATGCTTTAATTCCCCCGGTGTCAAAATCAGGCAAACATAAATGCAAGGCAACACTATTCCTGGCTGCATGTTATAGTGTTAAGTTGTAAGGAACACTATATTGAGTCCAACATTTAGTATAAATTGATAAAATTGTTCGTTTTAGTCGCATTTTCGCAGTTTCCCCAATTAAATCCAGTCACGCAGTCAGGCTGAGTGGGGTTGTTCCGGCGGGAAAGTGACGTCAATGCATTCCCTCTATACCTTTATGCAGAATTGAAATTGCAAAACAATATGAAGAGTTCAGATGCAAAAGCCTCTAAGTGCCATTTGAAATTTTCTTCTAAAATGATCATTTTATCAAGCTTGTATATTTAAGTTCAGTGATTTCACTTAAATGGCAATGAAGATTACCTATTAATTGTCATTTAAGTGAAATTACTGAACTTAAATACACAAGCTTGATAAAAATGGTCATTTTAGAAGAAAATTTCAAATGGCATTTAGAGGCTTTTGCATCTGAACTCTTCATATATTGTATTATAGTTGATCGGCATCTGTTTTTTTGGCTGCATTTGCCAGTGAAATATAAACACAAAATTACTTGGTGCAACTGTGAATGGTCTCCAATGTCATTTCACATTGCAAGTTTCCAAATAAGAGCAAACCTAAAGCAGCGCTGGCTTGGTGCACCACATACATGCACAGGAGATCACATATGTCCTTGATTCCACTGTGCCTGCTTCGATCCCAACAACCAGATGCCATACAGGTGCATCCAGCAGGTGAAAAGGGTTCTTGCCAGGTTGGAAAAAGAGCTTGAGAACAATCACCAATTGGCTTGCTTTTTCCCCTAAAGTTGTCACTGGATTGCCGAAAGCTCTTTTTTACGCTGCTTCTCTAGACTCGGCTTCCTCCCTGGTTGCTGCTAGCCCTTCCCTCACATTAACGTGTGGCTCAGGTGTATTCTGGTGCAGATATTTATGTTTTAGATTTCCCTTCCAGTATAAATCTATAGTAATTGGCCATTCTGCGGTATTGACAGTCCTCCTCCAGCGTTCATTTCATGATTTCTCTGCATGTTTTGCTATGATTTCGCTCATCCTCAGCATTCTGGACCACTGTTGTTTGCTGGAGAAACCCGCATCTTTTCATGGTTAGTGTGTGGGTTGTTTTTTTTGTTTTTTTTACGTTTTTGACGTGGCGTATGTCCATTGGTGCAGCTTCACTCATGCACATGTGTGCTGTAAATATGAGTCACCTATTGGCCTCCTCTAAGCGCT